GCTCTGGGCCCCTTCCTTCCTGCAGTCTTCCCTGACTGCTCCCCGCGGCAGCAGTGCGTGTAGGGGTTGGGGGACCGGCTCTGAAGGAGACTGCCTGGGGTTCTGTGGTAGGGGCCTTACCATGAGCTCAAACAAGTGGCTTAAATTTTGTAACCTTAGTTTTCTCCTCTGTAAAAGGGACCTAATGACAACCTCAGGATTATCATGGGAGTTAATTGAGGTAATGCATGCAAGGTGCTTAGCACAGTCCCAGCACTTAAGTGCTCAGTACCTATTAGCTGCTGTTACTGTTATTAGAGAGTGCCATACAGTCTGGCAGTTTGCCTCTGTGGCGTGTGACCTCATCACTGTGTCAGGGCTTTCAATTTAGGTAATCTAGGAATCAAGAAAGTCAGGGTGGGAAGGGCCTTCTGCAGGACTGGTTTGCCATAATCACAATGACTAACACCCAAGAAGACACTGGTAATGCCAGGTGCTGTTTTAGGCACTTTTTCATATACTAAATTGGCCCCCATAGCAGCTCCATGAGGTTAGTGTTCCTATCATCCCATTTTATAAGTGGGCATATGGAGGCACAGAGAGACTCAGCTACTTGCTTGAGGGCACACAGCTGGTGAGGGACAGAGCTGGGAGTTGAACTCAGGCAGGCTGATCTGTGCTAGTTATTCTGTGTTCTAGTCATTCACATGTCATTGGGCCCTGAGGTCCAGAGAGGGGAATGACCCCCCCCCACACCTCCACCCCCCACCCCCGGTCTCACAGCTGGTAAACAACCTTGGGGCTTCTGAACCTCTGGCTTGTCTCCTTCAAAACCTGGCCCAGGGCCACACAGCACACAGGACATGTGGGGGGCGTGAGGGACATGTGCTAGTCAGCTTGTGGGCTGCGGCTCCTTAGGTGTGAGCTGGAGAGGCAGCGGCAGGGTGGGCCCGGCGAGCCACCTTCATCCTGCTGGCCCGGACCTCCTGCAGGTGGGGGCCCCTGTGCTGGCTTAGAGGTGGAGCGAGTCCGGCTGTGGCAGGAGTTACAGGGTGATGAAGGTTCCAGGTGAACCGAGGGGTGCCCAAGGGACACTCTCATCCCTGCTGGGCCTGGCGGGCTGCCCGAGGAGCCTGGGAGCCTGGGGTGTTCCCTTATCGCTAGGGTGATTTTACTGGAAGTTCTTTTGAAGTGGGCTCAGTGACCCAGTGGGGCTGAGTCACAGAGTAAACAGAATAAGCAGGGCCTGGGCTCCGAGGGATGCAGACAATGCCCGGGGCCGGGTCAGCCCCACAGGGCCAGCAGGCCGGCTCCCTTCCAAGGCTTCCGCCTCCCCCAGGGCTTCAGAGGAGGCTTGGTTTGATGGGCTGTGGGCCATGTGCCCTGGGGGGCCCCTTAGCTGTGCAGAGTCTCAGGCCCCTCCCAAACCTGCCCTTCCTCCAGGTCCCCTGGCAATCGCTGTGACAGTGAAGAGTCCCCCACGTGTGACCTCTGTCCCACATGTCCAAACAGCTGGCCTGCAGCTCCTGTCTTCTGGAACTGTTTCCACCTGACTCCACTTTCTCTGGGAGGCATGTGGGAGTTGGGGGGAGCACCCTGCAGCCCTGCGGGGTGGGGGATAAAGGGGAGAGCCAGGCTGATCCTGTGGTCCCCAGTGGCTTGGGCCTTTCTGTGAGGTGGACCCTCTTTGGGGGCCCAACATGACACTGGGCTGTTCCAGGTTTCAGGGTGGGTAAGGAGGTGGAGGTGACTTAGGGGATCCAGAGGAATTGTCACCCTTCCTAGGATTGGGTCAAGTCAGAGTGAGGGGCCATGCAGGGCATCCTTGAGTGCCTGGCTGCGAAGGGACTTCTGGTGACCTCTGAATCTGATTGTGAAACCCTAGAGGTTGATGACGCCCAACCTCCACCCCTCAGACCCACGGAAGTGAAGCCACTGACTTTGAAAGGACATCCGTGACTGGGGGGAGGGGGGCGAGGGGGAGAGTCTCTCCTTTTACTTTTTTCCAGACGGTTCTGACCACACAGGCCTAAGACAACAGCTGCAGAGACAAAGCATTACCGAGACAATGACATCTCTGGGCCTTTCCCCCTTTGTGACGTCCAAGGCTCTGGGAACATGGTGATAACTGGACCCTGTCCAATGTTAATCACGACCCCCACTGGCCCCAGGGAACCCTGCCAGCTGCCTGGGGTGGGGTGGGGTGATGCCTAGAGATGCAGATAAAGATGTCATGCTGCCCCAGGTCAGGCCCCAGAGCCCCGTCGGGCTTTGGGGACAGGGAAGAGGAACAGAATGTATTGGTTGGCCCGTGGACTCCCCCAGCTAGGGAGGGAGGTGGGTGGAGAGAAGAAAGGGCGCCTGCCAAGTTTAATTAACAGTGGAAACTCGCCATGGGGAGGAGAGAGACGATCTGAAGAGGAGGGCGGCTTACTGGAAGATGGGGCACTGCCGGTGCCCGTAACGAGAAAGGAGCAAAGCGTTCCGTTCCCACAGTGCGTGGACCAGGGCTCTGGCCGCCTGCGTCCCAGGCAGGGCTGAGCTGAGACGGAGGTTCCTGGAGGTGTGAGTGGGAGAGTTTATTTGTACCTGCTTTCCTGAGTAGGCGTCTTTGGAAAACAACCCACCAAGGTGCCAGCCAGCCTTCCTTGCCCCCACAGAGAGCAAGGAGATTTAAAAGATGACAGTTGAGGTTGGAAAGAAGTAGACATGGTGTTTGACTCTTATTCCTTGTTGGTGACTGTGGGTGGCCTGGAGTGCGTTGTTGAGCTTATCATATGGAAAGAGAGATGATTCAAAAAATTTGTGAATCTCCTTGTTTAATTGAGAGCAAAAACGTAGAGGTGTTAAATGCAAGGTAAATTGAATAGCATGGAAAACCAGGTGTGGTGGCCAGCACCTGTAATCCCAGCAACTTGGGCGGGTGAGACAGGAGTATTGCAAGGTGGAGGCCAGCCTCAGCTTAGCGGAACCCTGTCTCAAAATTAAAATGAAAAGGGCTGAGGATGTAGCTCAGTGGTAGAGCACCCAGGGTTCAATCCTCAGAATTGCAAACAAAAACAAAACTAAAAAACCCGTTAATAGTGGTGTGTGTTGGGCTTGGAATATAGAAGGCTGAATGTGGCTTATTCGCTTTTAATAGGGGGCCATTTAGTGGGTAATTTTAGGGTGGATGGGGTACTTTGGTTCCATCTCCCTTCACGTGAGGTGCCGTGGCCCTTAGGACACCTGTTCCAGGTGAGTGCTGGCCCTGTGCCTTCCCTCCTGACCTTCCATCCCGAGGCAGCCCAGCATGCAGACGGTTCACCCTTGTTCCCATCTCTGCTCCATAGACCATGCAGAGCACACTTAATCCCTCTGACAGCACTGTAGGAAGGCGGGGAACCTTCCCGTTCCCTGCAGTCCATCTAAACCCTCAGGTTCTTCAGAGAGTCACAGAAAGCTTGATAACGAGGCGGTTGTCCTTCCTGGCCACTGGCCTTGCCATTCCTAAAGTCCCTTCTTTTCTGGATTTCTCTTCCCCTTCATCTCTTCCTGACGGGCATGCTTGTGAGCTCACTGGCATCCCTCTAAATAAGATTGTCTCTCTGCCCTTCATATATGGTCCTCATCCTCCACCCAAGGTATCCCTGTCCCCTGGGGGTCTCTCCTGTCCACAGCCTCAGAGCCTCTTCCTCTGGGGAGCCTCCTGCCTTCCTTTCCTATTTGACCCATCCCTTCACCCCTTTCCCATCTGAGGGTGTGTAGTTACCAGTTGAGATGGAAGAGAACTCCTTAAATCTGGCCTTGCTTTTCTGCTTCTGGAGCCTGAGATCTCGTTAGTTCTTGCAGCCTTCTGGCCCAGAGTCCTCGGACTTGTTGCATTAAGCCTTTCCTGCAAAATCCCACCTCGGGCTTCCCCGCCCTGCCCAGTCGGTACCCTTCTTCATTGTGTGGTTCTTTGGTTCCGAGAACAAGACATCCTATTCCTCCCATGATATTGTTTCGGGGGACCTGCATCTCTGCCCCTTGGACTTTTTGTGACTCCCAATCTTGTCTCCCGGTAGCCCTGGTTTGCCCTCTTTTTAAATTTTGCATTAGCTGCGGCCTTGAAGAGTAAAGCTCACTCTTTGTTTGCACTGCTCAGTGGGAATGGGATGGGACAGGGTATTATGAACCGTGGGACTGAACCTGTCCAGCGTACAGACTGGGGAAAAGAGTCCAGAAGACGGAAGCAGTTCACTCCGTACCACCAGCCTCTGGTTCAGGGCCGGCTTAGAAACTGAGGTAATCCAGAGGTTTTTCCTGATGCCAGTCAGGTCATATCGGGTTTTGAAAATACTGGAATTGAAACCAAACCACCTGGAATGAACAACAGCAAAACAAAAAACTACCCAAAGCATGCACTGATCTTTGGCTCTGTGATAGTGTGATTGCTCATAATGTTTTGAGTGATTTGTTTTTTTGTTTCTGGTGCTGGAGATTCGACCCAGGTCTCATGCATGCTAAGTACATGCTCTGCCACTGAGCTGCGCTGCCAGTGAGCAACTTTTATTAAGAGGCAGACACTGACTAAATCAGGACTGAGCTTGCATCCAGTGAGGACATACGAGCAGGACAGTCGGGGAAAGAGTAGAGTTGGCTGGTGCTGAGTGCATGCTGCTGCCCTCTGCACGGAAGTCAGCCATGTTGACAAAGCTCTGGAGGAAAGCCCACAACCCACTGTGACTAGTGTGCTCCCCTAAGTTTTCTCCCAGGTGTCCCAACAAGAGGCCAGCCGAATGACTCCAGTTTCCCCTGCCCATCAGTTTCTGGAGCAGACACATGGGGGGTAAGGTGAGGCAGAAGGCTGGCTGGAAGCCCCCCAGTCCAGCTCCTGCCAGCAGCACCTCTGCCCGTTCTCAACTGCAGGTCCACAGGCCCTGGATTGGCGCTGGCTCCTGGCCTCATGTTGACTGCTGGTGGGCTTCTCTGCTAGTGCTTGGGGAATGGACAAGTGGCCCCTTTGGAGTAGTAACAAATGGTCTCCCTCCTGTCCCTAGGCTCCACCTACAGTGTCCTGTCCATCATGCCCTCGGACTCAGAGAGCAGCAGCTCCCTCAGCAGTGTGGGTAAGTACCCCTGCCCGTGCCCTCCTTCCTGCAGGATGGCAGGTGGGTCAGAGCTCTGCGTGTGAGCGGGATAGCCCTGAAGGGTTCCTGGCAGGGGAAGCTGGCAGACCATTCGTGGGATCATCTGTGTTGATGCTGTTCACAATCTCTCTTGGCAGCAAAAATCCACCCTGGTTCTAGGAGGGGTGGGTGTGGGCATGTTTTGCCTTTTCATTTTGATGGGGGCATCTGCTTTCTCTGTGAGCCTGTCCACACCTGTCACACACTTCAAAGGCCTCATAGTACTTTCGTGACCACTCTCTGTGAGACTGACCCTTGTGGGGCCTTCCCTCTGTAAGAAGGGCCAAGTGTCCCGAGGACAGGAACAGCCAATCCATGCTTAACTGGATATTTCCCTGAGCCTGGGTTCCCGAAGTCCACAAGTGAGGCCGGCCCTCCTTCAGTTCTCTAGGGACGTACCAGCAGGAAGGTTGTAAGGCACCCACAGCCTTGCAGCACCTCAGGCCTGTTCCCTGTGCTGAGTCCTGGGATGGTCTCTGGTGTTCCCTCTGTGATGGATGGGTACATTTGTAGCACTGAGTCCTGAGGTTTTGAGCTGGAAGGTCATCTGGTGCTTCCTACTCTAGGGAGATGGGAAAACTAATCCCGGGGGAGTTGCATGCCTGAGATTCCAGAACTGGCCAGGGGTGATGTCCCATTGTCAATGCACATCCTGAACTTCTCTCCTGGGCCTGGGGTGGACGTGCAATCGAGGGCAGATGTGGTCCCTTGGCTCCTGGATCTTACAGGGGGCAGTGACTGTTGGGGTACAGGAGGTGAGTGTGCTGAGAGGGGCCGACAGGTACCAGCATCAATCTGGTCTGCATGAGTTCACCAGGGCTGACATAAGAAAGCACCCCAGATCAGGTGCTTCAACAACAGGAACGCCGCTGTCTCACGGTTCTGGGGAACAGAAGTCTAGGGTCAAATTGTTGGCAGGTCATCTCTCTGAAGGTGCTGGGAAGCATCTGTTCCAGGCCCTTCCCCAGCTCCTGGTGGCTTGCCCTTGATCTTCAGTGTGTTGACTTTGGATGCATTGTCCTCATCTGTGTGTGTGTGTGTGTGTGTGTGTGTGTGTGTGTGTGTGTGTGTGTGTCTGCCTGCACATATCCCCTTCTAATAAGAACACTTGCCCTATTGGTTTAAGGCTCACCTAGCTCCAATATGACCTCATTTTAACTTACTTATCTGTAAAAGACCCTATTTCCAAATAGGGTCATTTTGCTGGATTAGTGCTTACATATTTTTCGGGGGTTGTGGCTCAGTGGTAGAGCTCTTGCCTACCATGTTGAGGCACTGGGTTCGATTTTCAGTACCACATATAAAAAACAAATAAAGGTCCATCAACAACTAACAAAATATTTTTAAAAAGCTTTTGGGGACCATAATTTAACCTATAACCATCTGTCTAGGGCTCAGGGAGTTCTCTGTGGGGACCAGAACCCAGAGCTCCCCACAGTCTTGCACTGCAGGCTGATGACCATCCTTCAAGATGTTGGTGCACGTGGTTGGGGAGGTAGGGAGGTGCGGGGCGTAGCGTATGGAAGTCCCAGTCTCTCCTCTTGTCCTGGCTAATTGGGAGCATTTGTCAACTCTTTAACGTAGCTGGGCCTCATTTCTTCACCTGTAAGGTGGGGAGCTTGCTCTGGCTCCCATCCGTGGGGTGGTTGCAGTGGTTAAATTAATGCCTGAGATGTCCTCTTTGGCTGCTGCTGTGTGGGTGGGCATGACTGTGAGCTCGGGAACCGGCTTTTCTGGGTGCTCCTGTGGTATTTTCAGCCCATAGTCTTGGGCTGGTAGGTCCTCTGTGGGTAATTTCCCCTTAAGATTGATGAGCAGGTGAGGGGTAGGCATGCCCAGAAGGGACATCAGGTGTGTCCAGAGGAAGCCTCACCTGTCGGAATCAGGTAAGGTACTGTGAAGCAGGTGATTCAGAGCCCTCTCCAGCCCCACCTGCAGAGCTCCTGGGAGCAGGAGTGAGACCAGTCTCGCGGGAGAAAGGGGAGGGAAGGCTTCAGAAGCTGTGAGTAGAGCCGCTTGGAGGAGCAGAGCTACTCCTGGGAAACTCTGGCCCGCAGCCCACTTCCTGAGAACGCTCTGACCCTGAGGCTGGCCTGCAGCACGGGAATCCTGCCTGTTGTGGTGGTGGCTTTTAAGTAAAGAGCACTCGGGGGTCCTAGACCAGTTGGCCGACACTACCACCTGAAACCCCGGCTGGCGCCAGGCGCAGGGCTTGAGGCTCCTGCGCTGTCCGACTCCCTGGCACTCCTCAAAGGAGCAAGCCCTGGATCTTGTCCGGGGGGGACTCTTGGTTTGCACAAGCAGTCATCCTCCAAGGATCGGCAGGAGGGGGTGAGTAGGACCGCATGGAGGGGCGAAGCTGTGCGGCCTTCCCTCTGCACATGCTGGGGTGAGTTGGCCTCCCTGATCCTATGAGAGGGCTGCCGTGAGCTCATCTGACCTCCCCGAGGTCTCCGAGGGTTAGACGAGGCACCAGGTGGAGGTACCCACCGTGCTGACCATAAAGCGCCACGGATCCATCTTTTCCAGGACATCTGAGTAGAGTGCTTTCCCCAAGAGGGACGGACTCCAGTTTTCCTAGAGGTGGATTTGGACTTTGTCAGAGGTGGTGGTGATGTCTGTCCTTAGTAGGCACATAGGCACGAGGGTCTGGGGACAGGCGGTGCGGGCTGGGCAGCATCACGTCTAGCTCGGCCGTGAGCCAGGGGCCCCCTCCAAGCTGGCGCTCCAAGACTGGTGAGGGCAGGTCCAGCAGAGGTGGGGGACTGCTGTGGAAGCTGAGCCAAGTGTTCTGCTGTAGTGGGGAGGACAGGGACGTGGCCTTGGGGAAGCTGCCCGGCTCCTTGGGAGCTTTGCTGGGTTCCAAGTGTGTCTTCCTCCTCAAGTCTTTGTTCAGGGCTCAGAGATGTCTGTCCTGCCCCTTGTGCCTTGCCCAGGGCTGGGGGATAGCTGGCATTTCTAGATCAGGCAGAGCCACAGAGGTTCCTCCTGGAGGTGTCAAAGCTGGCTGGGGAGAGGGTGGGTGTCCCCAGCCAAGGCCAGACAGCTGGGCCTCCGCTGTCTGTGCTTGGTGTTCTCTCCTGTGAAGGGGGACGCTCAGGAGCCAGCCCATGGGGCTGTGAGTAGCCATGACCTCAGAAGGGTGCCAGCACCTCCTGAGTACTGTCCAAGTGCAAGTTCACTCGTGTAACTGCCCACAGGCACCACTGGGAAGGCGCCGTCCCCGCCGCCCCTCCTCACCGACCGGCAGGCGAATGAGAAGGTGGAGAACCTGTCCATTCAGCTGCGGCTGATGACCCGCGAGAGGAATGAGCTGCGCAAACGCCTGGCCTTTGCGACCCACGGGACGACCTTTGATAAGAGGTATTAATTGCGCCTGCCCAGCCTCACGGGCAGGGGTTAGGGTGCTGACGTCAGTGCTGTCCCCTCACGCACTTACCCTTAGCTCCCAGGGTCCAGGCTGCATGGCCAGGGTGTCCAAACCCCACATCCCTAAGTGCTCCCCAGAGGCAGAACCTGGAGGCTGTGGCAGGGGAGGGGGCAGACAGGCTTGTCCTGCTTCCTCCAGATAAAATCCAGGCTGTGGCCTGAGTCACACAGCGTAGAGATGGAGAAGGCGGAGTGTGGTGTGTCCCCGTCAGGCATTTGGAGTGCTTATCTGAGAGGTGGGCTCTGTGTGTGTGTATGTGTGTGTGTGTGTGTGTGTGTGTACACGTACCTGCTCTTTCTCCTAGAAGACCCCAGCCTGCCTCGTTGCTGAATGGAATATTCTGTGGTTTGTGAATACATTAACTGTTCTCTGCCACCTGTGTCTTAGGAAGGGGACAGTCCACTTGGTGTCTTTGTTATTTTGAAGGAGATCTTAGCTTTTTGGGTTGGGATTCAGAGGTACATACTAGAGCCGCTGAGTGGGACACAGAGAGTCTATGTACCTGCATGATCCAGGAGGACTTCCTCATGGAGGAGGGACGGAGAGCCATTTATCCTTTAGCTCCCATGCTGGTGGGCGTCTTAGGGCAGAGAATTGGTGTGAACAGTTTGATTTAACTTCTTCCTATTAGGAAAGGGTCTGTGCTTCTGGTGTATGTTAGAGCTGCAAAGCCTTTATTCTTTTTTTTTTTTTTAATGTTTATTTTTAGTTGCAGTTGGACACAATACCTTTATTTATTTTTATGTGGTTTTGAGGATCGAACCCAGGGCCTTACACATGCTAGGCGAGTGCTCTGCTGCTGAGCCACAACCCCAGATCCACAAAGCCTGATTCTTGAAGTGGTTTTTAGGAGGATATGCTCCTTAGGTAGACGGCACAAAGACGAGATGAGAGAAACGTGGACATCCTAACCCGAGTGGGTACACTGGCCCCAGGGCCAAATGCAGTCCCTTGTCTCACAAATAAAGTCTCACTGGAACACAGCCATGCTATTTGTTTACATATTGTCCACAACTGCTTTTGTGCTAGAAGGCAGAGTCTAGTGGTTATAACCGGTACTCTGTAGCCCACAAAGCACAAAGAATTCGCTATCTGGCCTTTTTGAAAAATTGTTGCTGATTTCTCTCTAGGGAAGGGATTCTCAAACTTAACCATGCACAGAATTTCCCTGGAGGGCTGGTTAAAGCACACTATGCTAGTTAACCTTCCCTCTCTCTGGAGCATGTGATTCTGGAGGTCTATGACTGGGTCTGAGAATTTGCATTTCTGACAAGTTCCCGGGTGGATACCAGGGCTGTAAATCTGGGAGGCCCATTTTGAGAACCAGTGTTCTTGGTCAATGTTCTCAACCTTGATTGCACGTTGGAACCCCCAGGGGAATTTTAAAAAGAAATTGGGGCCAGGGTGTATGTCTCCATGGTATAGCCCTTGCCTGGCATGTGTGAGGCTCTGGGTTCAACTCCTAGCTTTGGGGGAAGAAAAAAATTCCGACGTCTGGGTCCGACCTCCAGAGATGCTGACGTAACAGCTTTTGTCATTGTTGTTTTGATCTGTACCCAAGATTGAGAATCACTGTTCTGAAGACAGGAGAAACTTCATCATAGGTTGCTGGTAGACCCAGACTCCCAGAACCTCCTAGAAAGCAAGGCAGCCACTTCTTGGCTCTCCAAGAGAGAGAGGTTCAGGCAGTCAAGACTACTTCTCATCTGAGGGATCCTGCTTCTGGTGATCTGGGGAGCTGGGATAGCTGAGTTTAACAAGCACTAGGGAGGTGGGGGGCGCTGGCCCCAGGTCAATGTGACTCTTGGGGCCTGTGTTCACGGGCCGTTCACTTTGGGGCCAGGCCCTACCACAGACTGAATCCTGACTACGAGAGGCTGAAGATCCAGTGTGTGCGGGCCATGTCGGACCTGCAGAGTCTCCAGAACCAGCACACCAATGCCTTGAAGAGGTGCGAGGAGGTGGCCAAGGAGACCGACTTCTACCAGTAAGTGTGCCCGCGTGGCAGAACACCCGCAGAACAGCTGCTTTCTGCCCTTCTTTATCTCTGGACCTGTGCCAGGGGCTCTGGTTGTATTCCTGCCTCTGCAAGAGGAATTGTGCCTTTGGGTTTCCGTTTTCCTAAGTGTAGAGGGAGAATGTTAACCCTTCCCGTCATCTGTTGCCAGCTGCAGAGCAATGTGAACGTGAGGCGGGGGGTCGGGCAGATCTCTGGGACTCTGTCCAGGGGCCTTCCTGCACCTTGTACCTGTGGGACAGGCATCTCTCCTTGGGTCTTCTGGCCTCCTTGTAGGGTATTTGCCTTCTGATGTTTTCTGAGGTTCTAGTACCTGTAGGAACCAGGTCCGTGCCAGGTGGGGGCTTGTGTCCTTTCCCTGTGATACATGAGCCCGTTTTCATGACAAGTTTTAAAAAAGTGGTTTGAGTCTTTTTGGAATTTGGATGTTCACAGGCTTTGGCCCAGGGTTCCTCCCACCGTTTATCATTCAAGAGTAATTTGCCAACTTTCTGGCCTGTTTCTTGAGTGCTGCTGGCCCTGCTGCCGGGGGCTCCTGTCTGAGATCTTTACTGGGGACTTGGGTGCTGGAGGGGCTGGCAATGCCTGGAGATGGGCTGCTAGAGTCTGGTTGGGACTCACTGTGTGTGTGTGTGGGGTTCAGCACACTCCACAGCCGGCTCCTAAGTGACCAGACTCAGCTGAAGGATGATGTGGACATGCTGAGGCGGGAGAACGGGCAGCTGCTGCGGGAGCGGAACCTACTGCAGCAGTCCTGGGAAGACATGAAGCGGCTCCACGAGGAGGACCAGAAGGAGATCGGAGACCTCCGGGCGCAGCAGCAGCAGGTAGGGCTGGGCGGCTGGGGCGGACTAGGTCAGCCATCCCCCTGTCCTCCAACCTACCCACCCATTCATCCAGTTTTTCATTCGCATGATCATTCAGCAAATACTTCTGGGATGTCTGCCATGTGGGAGACTCCGGGATGTTTGTGAACACTTGGCCCTCGCTCTCCCGGAAGCTGCATCCCAGGAGGGAGACCAGTGTTAACCACACATATTGCATAGCGTTGTGAATGTTGCAGGGGCTACCGAGGAGGGGCGGACAGTTTGGAATGCCACACAAGGGGGCAGGTAGCAGAGGCAAATGACTGAGTCCGAGCTTTGGGAATCTGTAGCTTATTTCCTAGTGTGGATCTTGTCAGATTATAGATGCAAAGAAGTTTGGAAATGTTAGAGCCCTGTGCAAGTGAGCAGGGGAGCAGTCCTCACTTTGGCTTTTGGGTGGGAGTGTGGTCTCTTGCTCTTGATGCTCCCTGCATTCCTAGATGGTCTTTTCTTTGGCCTCGGCCAGCCTGTGGTTCACATGGACAGAGGTATGAGCAGTGGCCGAGTCAGAGCACTGGCTTCTGTGAGTGACATGGACCGAATTCTTCCCTCCTGTGCCTTGCAATCTAGAATAGCTCCACTGCTCAGGGACATGGAAAGGGCTTGTACAGTCTCTGTCTGAGGATGGTGGGGGACTTGGTGTTGGGAGAAATTTCCAAGGAGAGATGGTTCCTCTAAGCACTGTGCTAATCTGACCAAGGAGAGCATGACTCCCCAGCAGAGAGCATTTCCGGGAGTCTTGGGTAAGCTGGTGTAACAACCAAAACTTTTCTGTTCATTTAGCATAATGTTACCTTTATTGCTTTCTTTTCATTTACAATTAAGAATTTTTAAATGCAAAACTGCTATAAAGTTGTAGACAATTTGGAAGTCTAACACGGGGTTCCCCCCCACTGCCTTATCATTCAAGAGTAATTTGCCAACTTTCTGCCTCATCACACCCAGATGCACTCCTGTATTTCTTAAAACAAGGATATTCTCCCATACCACAGAAATGCAAACATGAATGTTGACGCACGATTGCCATCCAGTTTGTCAGACCCCATGGGGCTTTGCCAGTCTCAAGAGTGTCTTTTAAAGGAAAAGGATCCAGTTAGAATAAACCATTGCCCATAGCGGTCACATCTCTTTGCTCTCCTTCCATTCGGAACAGTTTCTCAGACCTTCCTAGACCTTCATGACCTTGATGCTATTAAAGGTTATAGGCTGGTTATCTCGTAGGATGCCCCTCAACTTGGATCTGTCTGATCCTTGTGATTTGATTCAGTCTCTGCCTTTTTAATGGGAATACCCAAGAGAGGATGATGTGGGCTTCTCATTGCATTCTCTTGATGGGGACTTGGTTTGTTTAGACCTGCCACTGATGGCGTTCTCTTAGATTAAGTTGGCATCTCTTCCAGGCTTCTCCACGGCAGAGGGCTTTCTTTTGTTCTTCCTTCCCTTCCTCCCTTCTTTCTAGCGTCTCTGTTTCCTTTGACATGGACCTCAGGATATTTCACTTAGTGGATTATAATCCATTGTGGCTAGGGGTAGCTTCTAAAAGCTGCTTCTCAGGCTGGGGATATAGTTCAGGGGTAGGGCGCTTGCTTAGCATGTGCGAGATCCTAGGTTTGATCCCCAGCACGCTACACATGCACACACACTTAAAATTTAAATTAAATAAACAAATAAAAAGAAAAGCTTGCTTCTCCATTCTTTCAATATGCCCCCTTGTTCTTTTAGTAGTTTCTTGCTCTGTTGCAAAAGAGGTATTCCAGGCTCATTTTACAGTTTCCCTGCCCTGGACCCTGGTACCGGCCATTTATTCCTCCAGGGAGTTCTTATTCCTTTTAATGGAGAATAGTATTAGGAAGCAAGATGTGAGAGCTGGGGATGCTTGTAGCTATTGGAGTATCACTGCTCCAGACCCATGGGTCTTCCCTACCTCTTACAGAGGACAGAGGTAGGGAAGACCCAAGTTCCCACACAGTTCACATCTGCATTTCTGTATCTAGATATGTATTTTTGAGAACTAGGAGTCAGACACAGTGGTTGCTTCCCTGAAATCCCAGCAACTCAAGAGGTTGAAGCAGGAGGCTCACAAATTGCCTGTGCAACTTAGTGAGACCCTGTCTCAAAAAAGGGCCGGGGTTGTAGCTGAGCTGCAGAACACTCCTCATTCAATCCCCAATACCACAAACAACAACAAAAACATGAGTTCTTACCGACACTTCCACTTTTGTCATCCATGTTCTTTCTAGTTTTCTTCCTTTCAGTTTTGTAACTCCCCGTTAAAACAACACTGGGAAACCTGATTCCTATTATTCTTTGTGTGTGTGTGCATGCGTGCTGGAGATTGAACCCAAGGGCACTTAACCACTGAGCCACATCCCCAGCCCTTTTTATTTTTTATTTTGAGACAGGGTATTGCTGAATTGCTTAGAGGCTTGCTGAGTTGCTGAGGCTGGCCTTGAACCTTGTGATCCTCCTGTCTTAGCCTCTGGGATTACAGGCATGTGCCACCATGCCTGGCTGGTTCCTATTATTCTTTTTTAACTTTTTTGTTTGTTTGTTATAGATGGACACAATATCTTTATTTTGTTTATTTTTATGTGGCGCTGAGGATTGAACTCAGCGCCTCATAAGTGCGAGGCAAGCACTCTGGCACTGAGCCACAACTCCAGCCCATAGTTCCTATTATTCTTCATCTGTTTACTTACATGATCAGTCCCCCTTTATGAACCCACCACCCATCCCCTCTGCAGTCTTCCCCATACCAATTTCTTCTTGCCCTTCATAGGTCCTCATACCCCACACTTTCCTCCCACCAGTACATGACTCAACAAGAAACCCCCACCCCAGCCCCTGATAGCAGGCATCCCTCCCCTCACCCCCCTTGCTTCCTGTCTCACTAATGGCTTTAAGGTTAAATCATTCAGAAAGAAAAAAGGACATGGTTTTCTTTTCATTTTTATTTTTTCAATTTTTGCAAGATTAATATGTATTTTGCAACAAAAAACAAAACAATCAGTACAGAAATTTAAAAAATAAGTAGGCTTCCTTAGTCTCATTTTGCAGAAATCACTATGGTGAGTGTGCTGCCAGGGTGAAGTAGAGATTTTTATCTGTACCTGTAGAGCCCTTTTGTATCTTATTAATTTATTTCACAAAATGAATTATATAGTACATTTTGTTGCTAACTTTTTTTTTTTTTGCTTAATACATCATGTTTGTCATTTTGTCTTAGTACAGATTATACTTCATTGTTTTCAAAGCACTGAGTTACATAAAAGCACTGTAATTGATTTAACCATTCACCTATTGGCTGACCCTTGGGCTATTTCAGGATTTGCCATTATGAATTCTATTCTATTGAAAAATTTGCTTCCATCATTTATTTTCTTTTTCTGGTATTTACTGAGGTCGTTGGTGGCGTACCCAGGGCAGAATCAGTTAGGGACTTGAGAGAGATGTACTTGGAGCTGTTGGTAGTCTTTTTTATGAGTTCTGGATTGAGGGAATTGGTTATGTTGGTCCAGCCTAGAACCTGGGCAGGGATATCTACCTGTAAGCCTGCCTGTGGGAGTCTTGGTAATGGAAAAAAAAACTCCTGAAGGGGAAATAAATGTAGGCTAGGGCAGCAGGAATCCACCCCGGGGCCAAGAGCCATGCAGATCCTGGGAGACTCCACTGCCTCCACCTGTGGTGTGGCCTCAGAGAGGGGACTGCAGGAGTCCATCGTCTTCCCTGTCCGTTTAGGATTCAGGAGGTACGTGGAGGGTGCTTTTGGAGCATTGCTGTAAGGGTGAAATGAGACAGACACGAAGGAGAGAGCCTGCTCCAGTTCCAGTCTGTACCACCTCAATCTCCACCCTCCTCAGGAGACCACCCTCCTGGATGTCCACAGAGCTTCCCAAACTTTCAGGTGTTTTTTAGAGGCAAAAAACATTCACCTCCAAAGAAATCCTTTTGAGCATTCTGAGGCATATGAAGAGGGAGTTAGTTACGGTGGTGAATCAAGGTGCCCAAGGGACCGAACAGCCAGCTGAAGACTCAGGGTCTTTCCTGCCTGGGTGGTGACTGCCCACCGGAGAGGTGGGTGGCCCTTCCTTGTCTTCACCTGTACCCTGCTCCGTTCCCTCACCTATCGCCTGCTGGTTTTCTTTACCTTCTCTTCCAGTATAAACTTGGCTCAGTTAACCTTTGCCTTGGGGCTTAGTTTGGATTCACTCTTGAGAGATTCATAATTGCAAATGTGTTTGTGGCTCTTAATCCAGGAGAAGTTCCGCGGCCATGCTAGGATATGTGAGAGTGGGGCTTTCTCAGTGCAGCAGAACTGGTCTCGTGTGATGTCTGGAGACAGAATGATACCACATATCCTAACCGGCACCGCCTACCTGTGCACTAAACACTCAACAGATTGCCCTCGTTATTGTTATTATTCTGGACTTGCCTAGTCTGGATTAAAATCTGCCTCATTGAGAATGTGGAGAAGTTGGAACCTTTGTACATTACTGGCAGGAATGTCAAATGGTATAGTCACTGTGAAAATGGTGTAGCAATTCCTCAAAAAAAACAAGTTACCACATGATCCATTCCCAAGTGTGTGCCCAAGAGAACTGAACATATAGTCCACACAGAAACCAGGATGTTTGTAGAGCAGCATTGTTCAGCAGCCCCAAAGTGAAAACAACCCAAATGGCCACCCACTAATGAATGAATAAGTGAAATGTGGTGTATCTCCTCAATGGAATATTATTTAGCATAAAAATAATATATGTGATAATGTGGGTGAACCTTGAAAACATGCCAAATGTTATTAATGTTATTCTGTTACTGAAACCAATATCTGAGATAATCAGCTCGTATGGAGGCAAGGTTTATTTCTGCTCAGGAGGTTTTGGTCCACAGTTGCTTGGCCCCATTGCTTTTGGGCTTGTGGCAAAGCAGTACATTGTGGTGGGAGCACAGGGTGAAAGACA